GATTTTCCCTGTGAGCTAGCAAAGCTGTGTTTCTGTTTAGCTGGGAAATCTCAATATTCAAATATAATTTGAGGTTTCCCCTTAAAAGGACATCAAAAATTCCTCACTAAAAGGACATAAAATTAGGATTCAGACCAAATATTTATGTATTATTGTAACCAACAAGACAAATTAAGTCATACGTATGGATTTAATTATGATATCAGAATGATCCAGGTATCAAAATTTATCTTTTAAAGCCAATAATCTGAAAATGTAATCAGGTCATTTTGACCAAATATGACTTAATCCTCATTTCGATATGATGGGTCTCATATTACCTTAATAACCTGTGTATACTATATTTAAAAGGTTGAAGACATGACCAACCAAGAAGAAGAAAGAAGAGATCAGCAGGAGGAAGAGGAGGGTAGGGTTAAAGAAGAAATGGTAGCAGCACCTGCAAAAAGTAAGRAAAAACTTTCAGCTCTTGGAGAGCTCTTTGAAGATGAAGACGAGGCAGTGCAACAGAGTGAGGTACGCATCARTACAAATTCGTTGGCTGTAAAGACCAAAAACGAGGTCCAGATCTATCGAAGCTTTCCAGCAGTCCTAAGCTCAGTGCATCCTCTCTTGTGGTGGTGGCAGAAGAGGGATCAGATGCCTATACTAGCCAGCTTGACCAAAAAATATCTCTGTGTTCAAGCCTCTTCCACAATCTTCAGAGCGAGATTTCTCCACAGCAGGGGATACGGTCAGTGTGGAGCGGGCTCGGCTCTTGCCAGAAAAAGTTGACATGTTAGTGTTTTTGAAAAAGAACTGTACAAGGAATGAAGAGAAACAGTGTATGAAATTCACAGCAAAGAAGTTTACTTTACCGTCATAAGTTGTAATACTTCAAGTTACATCTGTAAAATAGAATACCTTTTATTTATTTTATTTATGCTTTTGTTTATTTGATTTAAACTTATTTGCTTTCCATGGACCACATCACAATTTTTAGGGGGAAATGACCAATAGAAATATGTGGAGCTTGATTTTAATTTGTGCAGTAAGACAAAACACTGCATTAGTTGTTGTAAGAGTTTTCATTTTAAAGAAATCTGTTGATGTTYACAACACAGAGTTGGATGCCGACTTAATATACTTGTTGTGTGGTCAGGGATGAAGAAGATCACAGGTTTCAAGCAAAAGGAGAATCGGATGGATGGAAGTCTGGACAGAGCAAATGAGCTTAACACATTCTTCAACAGGCTCAGCTCAGGAACAAGCTCATCTTCCTCCTCTCCTGCCCCCAGCCAAACAGACATCTCACCCTCCTTTGACCAAACAGCTTTCCTGTCAAACCTCAGATGTTTCATCTTCAACCTCAGTCATGGACTTTTCTTCTACATCCACAAGTTTGTCTTCAACTAAATCAGGAGATGCTGCTGCTCCCTTTCCCTCCCCCTCCCACTTTTCTGTATCTAGAAGTCAGGTGAAGAGGCAGCTAGAGAGACTGGACCAGAACAAGGCTACAGGTCCAGATGGTGTTAGCCCCAGAGTCCTGAAGGCCTGTGCAGACCAGCTTTGTGGGATTCTGCAACACCTCTTCAACCTTAGCTTGACCCAGGAGAAGGTGCCAGTGTTGTGGAAGACATCCT